GGGGGCTGGGGGGGTCCGAAAACCAGTCAGTATCTGGTGTGAGGGTTAGGATTAGGGTTAGGGTTAGGGTAATGTTGTGAATCGAGTGGCCTGTGTTCGTCGTCCATAACATACGCCTGCCCATACCATAACCCCACCACCACCATGGGCCACTCGATTCACAACATTACCCTAATCCTAACCCTCACACCAGATACTGACTGGTTTTCGGACCCCCCCAGACCCCCCCAATAAAGCAAAAATGCACGTTTCAGAGTGTCCTTTTATTGTGGCCAGCCTAAGGCACACCTGTGCAATAATCATGCTGTCTAATCAGCATCTTGATATGCCATATCTGTGAGGTGGGATGGATTATCTCGGCAAAGGAGAAGTGCTCACTATCACAGATTTTTTCAGATTTGTGAACAATATTTGAGAGAAATGGTTATTTTGTGTATGTAGAAAATGTTTTAGATCTTTGAGTTCATCTCATGAAAAATGGGAGCAAAAACAAAAGTGTTGCGTTTATATTTTTGTTCAGTGTATGTTTCTGAGGTCTGACATAAATTATTTTCCCCTATATTTTTATGTCTTGAAAAAGTGGTTAAGAAAAATAGTTTTGACAGGAATATTTGTTCCCTTTTCTCCATCAGTGAAACAGGTGGAAGAAAAGGGAGTGGCAACATTCTCGGTTTGATGTATTTCTCATGTGGAGCACATGAGGCTGAAGAGCACCACTCCCTCATGTTGTTAACAGAACTCAGCCTTCATGTTTTCAAGCCATGACGGATATATTGCAAAACCTGCTCACACACTATATTTGAACCTTGTGTGAGCTGGAAGCAAACATGAATGCTATGAGACGTTTTTATCACAACGCTATGTGGGGCGCTCAGCCTCTTGTTGCCAAAGTTAGTATTACAACAACAAACACTTCTAACAAAAAACTCAAATCCTGTATTTAATTCATGACATTTATTTTTTACAATAAACCTAAAAGTATATTTCTAGAATTATGTTTTACCATTTGCCAGAATTAAGAGACATATTTGCCTGGCTATTTTGTGGTTTTACTTAACATTTGTTTTAAAATAAATAGCAATAAACCCATTTAAAAATTGACGGGCGGTATGGTGGTACGTCAGACAGACCTACAGGGAACTGCTGGTGTAGTTACCAGTAATTAAGCAATAGTTGTGACAGTGTTAACAAGTATTTGTACATGTTGTGGCACGCATGGTTTCTACTGTGAGACAGTCATCAGTTAATACCTGCTGTATGGCTGGGGCCACAGGAGCCTTGTGGGGGGTATTTCTTCTCTGTGAAAACAGACAGACAAACTAACGGTAACACTTAAAGTTATAGTCACAAAGTCAACTTAACATTCCATTGAAGTCTGTCCTAGTTTAGTCCCAGATTTGCAATTTTGCAAAGGTATTTGAGTATATCTCACTCAACCCACAGTCGGTGGGACACACGTACCCAAACAGGAATGTGTTGCTGTAACGGTCAGCTCTGGGAAATTGTCTTGCACAATGTCTGTTGCAAACACTCCACAAGACTCCCCCTCTGTTAGAGATGTTTATTTGTTGAGGTGGGACCTGATCTGAGAACTTCCTCATTACTTGTGACCACACCAACCTGCAAATTTTCTCAAGTACTGTGCTGAAGTACAATTTTATGGTATTAGTACTTTGTATACAACGTACAGACTTTTCATTGCGATAAAGAAGAGTACTTTTGTTTTGATACACTTTTAAATACAGGATCTTTTTTGGATCTTCTATTTGCATTGTTTTCACCTTGTAGCAATGCTGTTTCACTTGAGTGGAGAATATGAGTTCTTGTTCCCTGCACTGGGAGTTGTTTCCTGTTCTGTTTCATCTTAAAGGCCCAGAGACCAACACTAGCTGTGGGAGTCAGTGAATGTTGCGAAACTGAAACTGAGCCACTCTCACAGCGCAGTGTGTTGGTCCTCCTGACTGAAAGCCAGCTGCTGATTCCAGATCATCACAGCTTTGGAAGGAGCTCCCTGTGTGGTGAGTCATCGGATAGTATTCAACCGTGGGAAAACTTAAATAGTGCAGAGAGGAAAAATAACACACAATCAAGGATTACAGTTGAGAAACCTGCTCCAACCACTTTGGAATCAAACCAGTGGGACTACTAACGGATTTCTTGGAGCCAAATCACATTACCTTAAAATGAGTGAGAAGCCAAACCCTGTAATACCTCAGTGAGATTTCATGTATCTCAGAATGCTGTATATTTCTGAACTGGTGTGTGCACATAAGGTAGCACAAGAGAATAAAGTCAATTTCCATGACAGTGATGATCCACTATTCTTATATCTGCAGCATGGAATACTGCCAGATGCTCACTGAATGGAGTTTATAATCCAATTTCATGGCTGAACAAGTCTTTTGTGACATGCTTTTTTTGTTTCTAGCCCACAAAACTCATTTTCACATTCACTTTTTTTCAGTCTCTTAAAAACATACGTAATGTCATAAATGATGCATTTTGTAAAGTACAGAATTGCTCATGATTCTTTTCTCTCCACAAGTAAATAAAAACACTTTTTCTTTCAAAAACAGTTTTATTTAATACTTTGCCTACTAGCTATCATAAATAAAATAAAAAACAATAAGTTATGTTTAACGTTCAGAAGGAAAGGTACTCAGAGACCATCTGTCACGGGTCTCCGGGTGTGAGTCCCCCTGGGACAGCTGAACCAAACGCACCAGCTGGGGGAATTAGGCCTAGAATAAATAATGGGGACACGGGGCACCTTTGGCTGTAGACAAACAAAGTCCTGACAGCAACACAAATGGATTCCTGGCTCTAACGGCCTGGACTCTCTCCCTTCAGAGGGGTGAGTTGTCTTCTTGTGGCGTCTAGCATCTGCTAATAACATCCTAAGAGGATCTGGCACATCACCTCCTCCCTTCTTAAACAGTCTCTTCAGTTGAAAGCCTGCGCCACGATTTCACTTCCCTTAAAAACAAGAAAAAACACACATTTTAGTTAGTACTTATTTTCCCTTCCGTTTTTCTTTATGTTATTTTTCCCAAAGTCAGGACTTACACATTACTGCAGGGCACAATCCTCTCTTGGTGTTGCTTGGTTAAACTGAACTTCCTGAAGAAGCCAGGAAGTTTGAGCTTTGTTCTGGCAGACCTGGAGGAAGCACTGAAAAGCAAAAGTTGAATAGGGTTACTTCTACAACAAAATGTGGTCCTGCAGAGCCGAGGCGCTAATGAGAAGCTTTGTGGACAAACGTGCAGATTAACACCAACGTGTGAATGGGGGAGCTATGGCAGGAATCTTCTCCAATTCTTCAAATTCAACACTGGTTTTAAAGGGATATTATTCTCATACTATACTCAATTTGCATGTTTTTCGTTTGGAAAAGTTAAAGGTAATTCACTTCAGAAACATTTTTTTCGGTTGTGTACTTTCAAATTCTAGCTTACTCGAGCTGGTTTCTCCATTCTTACCTACCCTACCTTTAAGGCATTCTGGAAAAGCATTGTTTGGAGAAAATAACTCAAGATGTCACAAAGTTTATAGATACGTGTAAATAGTTGTGAAAGCCCAAAAATAAGTATGGGTTATTACTTGTGCTAATGACCACATACATGTCTGTTTACACTTTTAAACCCACCACTCTGCCCGCAGCGAGGACTCCTGTTTGGACTCCGTCCCCTCCTCCTCAGCTTCTGCTTTTAGTTCATCCTCCTCCTCCTCCTCCTCCTTTGCCTCAGCGTCCTCTTCCTCCGGTATCTGCTCCCACAGCTTGCTGTCGACCCACAGAGCTTCCTGCAGGCCGAGGCCCCGTCCTACGCCGGTGACCCGTCGACACAGAGGGCAGCCCACGGTGAGCAGCCCGCTCTGGGCCTGGGACATGGTCTCCAGGCACAGCTGGCAGAAAGTGTGCCTGCAGTGCAGCACCCTGGGGACCCTGTCCGTCCGAGAGTAGGGCAGCAGGCACACGCTGCACTCTCCGTCCTCACACAGAACCATGGTCCGGCTGCAGGATCAAAGTGACGCGATGATGTGGATCCTGTTTGTCCAGGAGAAAAGCTCTGATATCAGGCACCTGATGATCAGGGCTTGTTGAAGTAGATGGTTCCTGCAGGGGTCCAGTTTTCTCCTCTCTGTTAAGAGAAATATATATATATATGTTTGAAATACTAACAAATCAAAAGTCTGTATTAAAATGAAAGCTGACACAAACATATTTCAGTAAAGAATATTAAAATATATATATATATATATATATA